GTCTGCACATCTTAATCACTACTTTAAATATCCGACTATGAGTGAGGCACATCCGCGTGGCATCTTTGCCGTATTTTTCATCTTTTATCACCGTCTACAGTTTAAGATCATCTGCAAAGGACGCTATGTCCAATTTTCCTTGTCGTACAAGATGATTTAGATGGACGGAGAATATGAGTGGCCCATGAACTGACCTATGTTACATTACACTTTTATGAGACGCCCATTCTGAACAGTAGCCACCAATATTAACTTTTATCTACGACCGTTTGAAAGATGTCGAATCCCACTGTGGAGATTTCTTCTTGAATATACGCTATACATCATTTGAAGGAGGCGCTTATGTGGAACGCAATCGAGCACTTGCTGAAATCAAAGAAAATGACATCCACTGGATGTCCTTCCTCCATCGCCTTTGACCGACGTCCGAGGGACGTAAGCAGGTTTGTGAGTCAGGATCACCTTTCAGAGAAGCCATGTTGAACTGAGCTGATGTGACGGCTCTCTTAGCTTCAGGCATCCGAGTCGTTGCTTTTACATGCTAAAACAGGAATTCCTCAATACCGATTCCTACGACTGTGTAGTCCCAGTATCCCAGGTCGTTTGCGTGAAGACCTGGTGTGATATGGTGTTGGTGGTGGTGTTGGTGTTGGTGGTGGTGTTGGTATGGGTCGTGTGTGGCACATGGAGACGAAATGTCTCAGCACTGTTCAGCATGCCTGTCCCATATCCACATCAAATGCCCTATCGGTCCAGAGTGTTGTCTGATTCCCGGAAGAGTAAATGGAGAGTGAATTCCAATGTGGTTATTCGGACATCACGGTCCACACTGCATATAACAGACATATTCCAAACTTTAAAGCAAGCTAACTTCCGTGAATTGGAAGAATCACATGTGATGGGACAAGTCGGTCCTCCGATCTGGACGAAGAGACAACGGCAACCGCATCTTCTTCTTTGCGTGGTAATCCCATTCAGTTGAGAATCGGGGCACCGCTGTTTGAATGGTCCCTCCTTAGAATATCACGCGTTTCTGTGCGTAGCACGCATTGACGACACATATAGCATTGTTAGTCATTGAACCCTGCAACTCCTTCTATCTTTATGACATAGTCATTTCACCGATCTCATGTCAGTGAGGAAGGAGGAGAGCGTGGCATTTGAAGCGCAAATGACGGTTCTAATGTGGACCGTCTGTCACCTCCCAGACAATTGACTGGGTAAATTGCAACTGACTGGATAATCACATTCCGCCTATTGACGTCATGTTCTTCGCAGATTGGATAAAGGCGCACATGGCTTCGGTGTACTTGATTCGCAGACAACGACAACAACAGTAGCAGTCATGGGATCTAGGGAATTTTCATGGCATGATTAAGTTGATGGCTGGGGAGTTTTACACGCTGGATGACTACGGCCAATGAACCTGAGGTGGCCAATGCCGACACCGATGACTTTATTAGTCCCCCTTCAGCATCATTGCTGTTCACTATGCGGCTGATTGAGAACACATTCATCTGTTATCTCACCCTCTAATACTGGTAGCGTGTTAGCCTAGCTGATGGCTACCCGGCGTGTCCTCAGTTTGCGGATAGTTGAACGGCCCTCAGTGAAGATTAGTTGCGAAAAAAGCAGACTCGAGTCTGACGAATAAGCAGCCGAGGACCAGCTGCGACAGTGCTGCCAGGGCGCGGAGAGCTGAAGACTGGCACGCCGAATGCTTTAGAAAAAGCCGCACTGTGCAATGTCAGGATTATGGCAGGCGACCCTAAACCTTCATTAAATAACTTTGTTTGCCACCGCTGCCTTGTGGTTGGAATTTTAAGCCCAAGCGCTAGAGGGGACAGCCTCGAACAAACAATCCGAGCGGCTTTTGAGGTCCAGCCTATGATTGGGATTCCCAAGAAACCTAATGAAATATGTCCGATCACAAGATAACGACCCATGCTAATGCGTCCGCAGGAACAGATGCACTCTGCAACCCTGGTCCCGTGGTGCAAACGAATAACAGGCGAGCTGGACTAAGCAATCGGGGACGGACTCTTGGTATGGATGCTGGAATGTGCGAACGTACCTGAATCCCCGGACCCAAATACTGCCTGTGCGCAGCCTTAATCAGTGCAAGGTGGATGTCTGCTGTCTGTCGGAAGTTTGGCATCCCGAAGCAGGCTCGAGGAATAAAGACTCCTGGAGTCGCACCACACCTCATCCTGTACCAGAGGGGACCGCGCGACTCCTTTGGTGGCGATCGTCCTCACAGCATGCGGAGGTGACAGTTCGCGTCTCCTTGCCCTCCGCCATTGTCACGCTGCTTTACTGTCCGCCTCACGCCACTCGTCGATACGCCGTTGGGAGGCGCGGAGCTTGTCAATAACCCCGCGAGCGCTCCAGGCCAATCAGCGCTGTCCCCCCTCTGATTGGCTGGCGGACGCGGAGACAACGGAGGGCGCATATACGCGCTGGGACACGACAGTTCGACCGTCGATTTCGACGATGTCCACCGTGTGCCCTACAGACTGCATTGGGGAGCAGGGACGGTGACTTACGCAGGGCTTTATAGTGCCAGTAGTCTTGCGTAGCATCTACCTATACTCTCTTCTCCTCCCCCGCCTGGGCCCGGTGTTAAGACAGAGTCAAGGAGACCGGAGACGAGGGAGGCCGCAGGTGGATGGCTCGGACGGATCCTCACCTTGGCGTTCCACCACACCCCCTGGTCCACACAACAAATAACCAGGATTTTGACCGCAAAACAATGGGGTGGTGACAGTGGTCCAGTTGTGCGACGAATGCCGACAACAGGGTCCGCCAGCGCACCCCGGAAGTGTTGGCATTTATTATTGCGCACAGATAACGCCTGCCAGAGTCCGATGTGGCCCCCGTGTTGGTTCAGCGCATCTAACACGTGGCCCGTTTGAAGGGCACAAAGGCAGCTCCCCGACCGGGAGACGAACCCGGGCCGCCTGGGTGAAAGACAGGAATCCTAACCGCTAGACACAACACCTCGAAGGCGCACTCAAACAACAACCTGCATGGAGAGTGTGCTCTCGGGGACTGCCTACAGGGCCTTGTGTACGCGTTTTCCAAACAGTAAAGGTTGTCCGACTCCAACCGTCTCACCTGACTTTTGATTGGGAATCTTAATCTTGTCGACCACATTACTTTCGACCATTGGTGACTCCTTGCGAACAGCAATCTTCCTCCTTCCTAATCTACGATAAAGTCGGACGTTGATCATGGACAACTTTCCACCGGAAATGCAGCATATTTTGGCACCCGCCTTTGGCATCCTTTCGGCTAGGCAACTTCCTCAGATGGCTGATCGGCTTATGGAGATGCAGAGTTTATCCAAGTCATCTATTTTATCACTCCCAACTCCCTCAACTCTTCCTGCGTCTCCCCTTTCGCAGTCGGAGCTCGGGTTTATCAAGCTGGCCGATGATATTGCTTCTCTCCAGAAGGAGGCAGTTTCTCCTTCACCTCGAAGCCAACCGAAGCCGTCCACCCCGCATGTCCAGTTTTCACATTCTGCCCGTTCAAAGACAGCTGCCACCTGCTGATATCACACCATCTTTGGTAATAAAGCCCGTCGATGCATCTCTCCCTGCTCCTTCCCCTCCAAGCAGAGCTAACTGGTAACACCGGTCAGCCCGAAGGTCAGTGCAGCCAATCTTCCCGACAGCTCTATCTCCGGTTGCACATTTTACGTCCGCGACACCCGGAGTGGCCAACGTTTCTTGGTTGACATTAGTGGCCAGCTAAGTGTTATTCCACCCACACCAGCTGATCGTCGGTGCCCCAATCTCGGTCTTTTCCTACAGGCCGTAACCACATCGCCGATTACCACATTTGGCACCTGCTCCCTCTCTCTGGACCTCGGTCTCCGGCGTCTCTTCCCTTGGATCTTCGTCCTTGCTGACATCCCATGTGCCTTTCTCTGGGCAGATTTCCTCGCAGCTTTCGATCTTCTGGTCGACTGCCGTCAGTCACGTCATCACGACCAAACTACCAACCTCACTGTCGGAGATATCTCTTCCTCCGACGCTTCCTGTCAACTCTCCGTCTTGGACGCTGAAGCCGAGAATCCATTTCGGCTACTCCTCGCCAAATACCCCGCCCTCACTCTTGCCAACTTCAACGCTTCTATTCCACCACACGACGTTGTTCACCATATCCGGACCATCGGTCCTCCCGCGTTTTCTCGCCCCCAGCCGTCTCGCGCCTGCACGTCTTGCTGCCGCCAAGTCCGAGTTCGAGCACATGCTTCAAATGGGCATCATCCGTCAGTCTGAAAGCCCATGGGCCTCAGCCCTCCGCATGGTTCCAAAGGCCGCCACTGGTGACTAGCGCCCCTGCGGTGATTACAGGGCCCTGAATAACGTTAATGTCCCAGACCGCTACCCTGTCCCACATCTTCAGGATTTTGCCGGTGTCCTATTCGGCAAGTCTGTATTCTCGAAGATTCATCTGGTCCGTGCTTTCCACCAAATTCCCATAGCCCCAGAGGACGATTCGAAGACGGCCGTTACCACTCCCTTTGTCTTCTTTCAGTTCCTGCGCATGTCGTTTAGACTTCGCAACGCCTCCCAGACCTTCCAAAGGTTCGTAGACAGAGTGCTTTACGGCCAACCATTTGTCTACGCCTATATCGATGACCTTCTGGTAGTCAACTCAACCGCCGAAGAACACATGGAGCATCTGGCAACGGTGTTTAACCACCTTCAACAAGTTGGCGTTGTTCTCAACCCGCCCAAATGCATCTTAGGTGTGCCCTCCCTAGAATTTCTCGGTCCTCTGGTCGACTCTTACAGCATTCGGCCTCTTCCCTCAAAGGTTGCCGCCATTCGGGAATTTCCACTCCCCACCTCGAAGTGTCAGTTGCAACGGTTGCTTGGTATGGTGAACATTTATCGCCGGTTTCTCGCGAACTGTGCCGATAACATCCTACATCTGACCAGTCTGCTCTCAGGTTCCAAGCGCACCTTTGAACTTACCCCAGCAGCACTCAAGTTATTTGGGCAGGTAGAAGCCCTTCTGGCTGATGCCAGCCTCCTGCCTCAATTTCTCTGATGGTGGATGTCACCAATGTTGCTGTTGGCGCGGTTCTTCAACAAAGTCTGTCAGATTCTACCGTGTCTTTGGCTTTCTTCTTCAGGAAACTATCCAAGGCCGAAACCCGCTACAGCACATTTGTACGTGAACTTCTCGCCGCTTATCTTGTCGTAAGGCACTTCCGGCATTTACTCGAAGGTCGAGAGTTCACAATTTTCACAGATCATAAGCCACTCACCTTTACTATGCGTTCCCACTGGGATAAACTAAACCCTCGGGAGATCCGCCACCTGGACTACATCTCCCATTTCACCATTGACATCCGCCACATTGATGGCACGAAGAATGAGGTGGCTGACGCACTGTCCAGGCCCTCTATCGCCCACCTTCAGCTTTCATCTGGGATCGACCTCAATGAGATGGCCGCTGAACAACGCCGTGTCGATGCACCCTGTGATGAGGATGTTTCCGGACTCCAACTTCAGGAAGTACTACTGACAACTGGCAACGGCACCATTTTATGCGACGTATCCACCCCTTCTCATCGTTCATTTGTGCCACCATCCCTCCGCCGCAAAGTTTTCTACTCCCTGCACAATCTCTCTCACCCCGGGAGTCCAGCAACCGACAAGCTGGTTTCCGACCGCTTCGTCTGGTCTGGAATGCACAAGGACCTGGACGCATGGACACGGGCGTGTCTCGGCTGTCAACGGAATAAGGTCCAACGGCACAACAACGCTCCAATTGGCACCTTCCCTACTCCCTTTCATCAACCACCAACACTGTATCCGCGAGCTATACTCACTCTAGCCCTGTGCCCCCTGTATATATCACCCGTAGTGGACGGCATGTTCATTTTCCTGATCCTTTGTCTACTCATGTTTTATAGACATCAACAATTCATTCTGCGTCGCTACTCGCCACCTTCGGGCCAACCGGGGGATACTGTGGCAGTTCGCGTCTCCTTGCCCCCACCAGCCTTTGTCACGCTGCTTTACTGTCCGCTTCACACTCCTTGTCTATACGCCGTTGGGAGGCGCGGGGCTTGTCAATAACCTCGCGAGTGTTCCAGGCCAATCAGCGGTGTCCCCCCTCTGATTGGCTGGCGGACGCGGAGACAACGGAGGGCGCATATGGGCGCTGGGACACAACACCTCGAAGGCGCACTCAGGCAACAACCTGCATGGAGAGCGTGCTCGCGGCGAATGCCTACAGGGCCTTGTGTACGCGCTTTCCAAACAGTAGAGGTTGTCCGACTCAAACCGTCTTCTCTGACATTTGATTGGGAATCTTTACCCTGTCGACCACACTACTTTCGACAGGGATCTCGCGTTACTTGCTTGGAAACCATTCAATGCCCGAACCGCCTACGTGCGACTGATGGGCCACTTTAGGAATATCTCCATTGTCTCTGGGTAGGCACTAAATTCTGCTATCCGATCCCGTTCTACGACCCGGGCCGAAGGATAAGGCAGTAACCAATGGTCGTCACCGTCGAAAACGTCAATCTATGGGGCAGCTGAGAAAATCCTTGGATATACGTAGCGACGCCACAGTGATTGGATCAGCGGAAAAGCCCTGCAGTTGTCTGCTCAGACGGCTCAAGGGAGGTTCCGTATTTTTTATTACGATCTGCCAACTTCGAAATATAACGGCAAATTTGGACAGGGATGACCGGAAGAAATATTGGATTGAAATATCGACCTCGATTGCACAGACCTCGAACGTTGGTGACACTCGAAAATGCTAACAAACTATCCACCAAGTTAATCGTAAGTCCTTCACACTGCGTGACACTGTTCCCGACGTGAATGACCACTTTAGTGTTGACGATTCAGCCAAAGTGGAGTACTAGCGTGAGCACGTTGAGCACCATCTCAACTTTATATCCAACCCACCACGCCGTTGCTCTCCTCTGCAGAGGAGTTTCTTCCCTTCCTGCCTACGCAGTGTCATGCGACTCTCCTTCTGAAGCAGAAATCTCCGAAATCATACGAACGCTACGCAACATTGACGTTAATGCGAAGATAATCACTACTATGTGCTATTATTATTAGGCAATTTTACCGATCTATGCTACCAGCAAGTGACGGCAGTCTGCTTTGTTGGCTTTGGCGCCACGTTCGATTCCGTCCATCGTGCGTCCCTGTGGCGGATAATGGCACCAGATGGCGTATCGCTAAAAATGATCGCCAGGATCGAGGTCTACAGTAGTGAAATGTCAGCTGAAATTCCCAAATGAGTTTTCATTTCGAAAAGATTAATTAAATAGGGTTGTAAAACTTATCAATCTGCAGTATAATTCTTTAATATTTCAGTTACCTGACGATGCCGGCTGTCGAATGAACTTCCTTCCGCCTGCATGCAGAACTATGCTCCGCAAGAAATGACTACTTACGTAGCGTGCATTTTTCTCAGGATTTTAGATGCATTTTAGATACATGAAAAACATGCATAAAATATTCATTTTCTTGCGCATTTGGTAGAAAATGACGTTTTCTTCCAACTTTGTACTTGATGGAATGATATAATTCGGTTTTCTAAAACTTTCTAATTGTGAGATTTTTAGTGCCGTGGAATGGTCGTTCCTAGAACTTCATGTCTCTGTATTTACTAATGTGGCTTGTAAAGTTAGCAATATTTATCAAATCCGATGCTGAATATTATGAACCCCATATGATCTCCCTTCAATACCTTAGAGAAATGTGGGTTATCCGGACGCGGAAAATACATTGCTTGTAGTTTGGAAACCCTGAATGAAAGCGTGACGGCAGAGCTGGTGCAAAATTATTCGGGAATTTGAAATGTTTTTGAAAACCGAACAATACCCTTCCGTCGAGTATACAATTGCAAGAAGACGTAAATGTCTACCAAATGAGCGGAAGAATGGATTAATTTATGCAATTTTTGTAGAGTATAGTCCTTGCATGCAGTCGGAAATGAGTTGAATTTGCACCCGGATACTGACCGACTGATCTCCAATATCCTTATCATATTGCCTTATTTGCTTCACATTTCGGTGATCTGCAGTCTATGGTGTCACGGGCGAACAAGATCTTTAAATCGGTTGGTTTATGCATAAGCGCTGGGAAGACTATAGTGTTTCCAAGCTGCATTCCTAAGAAGAAGAAGAAGGTAGCTTTCGGGATTGGTGACTGTCAACTTTAAGAAGTAGACAGTTTTGAGTACCTCGGAAGGAGGCTGATGCCGAATAGGCAGAGTAAGGATGACATTTTCTCCGGAATAGATGCTGCCCCACGGGTCTTCTCAAGCATTAGAAAATGCCTAGGGATCAGACGCAACATCATCGCCACTAAGATTCGCGTGTACAGAGCATCTGTCCCTCCTTCACTATGTTTGTGAATGCTGAGCTGTGCGCGAGGAGGACGGGCGAAAACTGGAGGTATTTGACCACCGCTGTTTGAAGACCATCCTTTGGGTGAGGTACGGCGACATCGCCTCAGATGAAACAGTTAGCACTCACGGTGATAACAGAGCGAACATATCCCAGGCCATCCAAGAAAGGCGACTGAGGGGGTGTCAGAATGTTCTTAGTCGTCCACCACAGGAGCTCAGTGTTGTTGCGCTCGATCCGACACCTTTGCCACATTGGAGGCGTCTATGAAGGCGTTAACTCGGAACCTGACTCGACAGAATTCGTCAAGACATGGAGGTGGTTCTTGGGCCTTCAGCATTTGGTATCCGTCGTTGGCGAAGGGAATGGATTGAACTCTCCGTACCTGCTGCCGCAGATGGTGACGCGTGCAGAGGTACAGTTCGGCACTTGATCGAGGCCAGCTAGATCAGGCATGATCGCAGCCGTATCGAGTGCATGTACAAGTACCACACCCATCATCCCCGGCAGGATATCATCGGATACACCGAATGCGGCTATTCCTGTTGATTCGCGCTGGCCTACGTGGCTTAACCATTGGAGACCGTGATCTTCAATCTCATCACCCGAAGTAGACATATCCGATCAACAGCGCACTTCCAATTCCGAGACTTATCGCCAAATCGACACTGTAATGATGATAGTAATAATAACCGACTGTAGTGGATGCAAACCCCTGGAGCCATCCTTGCCAGAATCGAACCACATATTTATTTGAGATGCTACTGCAGTCAGTCAGTCGTCGTGACAGTACTAACCATAGACTCGCACACACACACACACTGTCACGCAAGTCTCACTTGCCAAAATTCCCCCCCCCTGATATAGATACATCTGTTGATATAAATTTCCTGTCTGCAGACTATGACCAGACACAGCACCAACATAAGACATAGTCCAACTAATCAAGATGAGAGATAGAGAGAGTGTAGGATAAAAGAACCAGATTTATTAGTTAAAATGGAATGGACATGAGGAGAAGGACAATTACAAAATCCAGCACCAAGGATGATCATTTCAATAAGAAGGAAGTGAATTACGACTTTGGGGAGTGGACGGAACAAATGCGATATAACACTGTGAGTTAGCGCGGGCGTGAAGGAGGGAAAGTGAACCTCAGCGAAACAGCGTCTATTGTGTGGAATAGAATAAACAAGAGAACAATGAATAATACTCTCCAACAGTTTAAAAATGGGGACGAGGGAGAATCATGCATATAATAGTACAAATAATAATGGGTGGGACGTGGCAGGGGGTGGGGTGAAGGATAATTCCAACGAAGGCTATGTACATGCGCCAGCACAAAAGGCGGCGACTGAAGGCGGCGGCAGCAGCGACGGTGGGAGATTCGGTGGTAAGCACAGGGACTGCAGGAAGCAATGACGCTGGTATCTAGAAAGGGGAGAGTGTTCAGTGAGCCATGGTTGGGTACCCGGTAGATTGAACAGCAATCTAGATTAATTGGCGTAGCCTATGCTTTGGACTAGAATGAAAAATATATGTGCTTTCATGGATGCCGTATTTCAGTCCTCAGGGTAACAACATAACAGCCAACGACAAAAGCCTCAAGAAGTATAGCATGGCTAAAATGTCTGCATGAATTGGACTGTAACTGAGTGCACAGTAAGAAAGTAAGCAAGTCTCCTAGTAAGCATGAATGTCAGAATAAATGAAGTTGATATAATGGCA